CTGCGGCCCGAGGACGGCGGCCCCGGCGCCGCTTCCACCTCCGCCGCCGCAATGGCGACCGTCGGGGAGCGCAGGCCCCTGCCCAGTCCCGAAGCGATGCTGGGACAGTCGTGGAATCTGTGGGTCGAGGCTTCCAAACTTCCTGGAAAGGACGGTGAGTGTCCACGCCCTCCGCCTCCCCACGCCCCTCTATACCCCCAACCTCTTCTCCTTCACCCCTCCCCCCTCTTTGTGACCCGCCCCCTCGGGGGTCAGAGATGCTATCGCTTGGTTGGGGAACGCGGAGGTGCCGGCATCTACTCTGTTCTTGCGTGAGCGTGCGTCACTCCAGCCACTGACCTGCGTCTCTCCTCCTCGTGTGTGTATCTCCTAGGGACGGAATTGGATGAAAGTTTCAAGGAGTTTGGGAAAAACCGTGAAGTCATGGGACTTTGTCGCGAAGGTGAGTCCAGTTCCTGGATGAAGTTTCTGCAAGACCCAAGGAAGTTTTCTTACCTCCTTCACAGGGCTCAGAAACTTTAGCACATCTTTTCCACTCCTCCCTCATCCCCTCACACCCTCAGGAGAGGATGCTGCCAGAGGAGGAAGAAGGGCAAGGACTGCTGGCATTTGGGAAATCTAGCTTTCTCTGGCTTCCCACAATTGGGAGCAGCTGGGAACCCGTCTTTTGAGGCCTGGTATGGTGCAGCGTGAGTGACAGTGCTCAGTGATGAGCCCTGGGTACATGCAGTGAGTGTCTCCTGAAACCTGAGTTGAGGAAGGATGCTTTTGAAAGCATTTTCACATATGTTTTAGGGGACTCTGCAAAGGAATCCCCTTTGCCACCTGAAATTTTTTGCTGGCACTCAATGATTTTTGAATTTTTATAAAGGTGATACTTTACATTTCTCTGAGATATAAACTACAAAGTTGATGATGCTACAAAAGGATCATCACACATGAGGAGCCACTCAGATTTGTGCTCAGATTTATGTATGTATGTATGTATGTATGTATTTATTGTGAGCTGCCAAGATGGGGGGAGGGGGTGATGGGAAGGCCAGAATTTTATATGGTGGAAACAAGCCTTTAATGCCTTTAAGGAAATCAGCATTTAATTATTGGTCAGTTTTTTTTTTTTTAAAACTGGGAGAAGGATATTATAGGAAATTCTATAGCTAAAGTTGTGTCTTCAAAGAAAAGTGAAGGAGGTCAGGTATCTAGAAACTGTCAGACTTTTCCTTCAGATTGTCAGTCATCAGCCTTTGTTGTCTGATGGCTTCCAGGCCTGGACACACCATGGTCAGAAAGGACTTCTGGATTCCTTTCTGAACCTTCAGGATCAGTTGAAGTTATTCTTTCAGTGGTAACAAAGATAAGGCCTTCAGTGAGATCTTGGTATCCAAAATGTTTAATTTAAGCTCCTCTATTCAGTTTTATTCTTCAGGTGTAGCTGTTTATGTTGGCATAGTTATTGTCCAGGGCCCAAGCATAAGTAGAACTTGGGTAAATGGAACATTTAAGATCTAGAGTTGGCCCATAGTTAATCTGTCTTTACATTTAGTTCTTGTTTCTAGTGCTTGGTTTTTTGTTGTTGTTATTGTTGTTGTTGTTTTATATTTGCTGTTTCGGTGTTTTGAGTTGGCCACTTGTTGGCCTTTTAACACTGTGAGGGAGAGTAAACCAGTGGCAACTTTGAGTGCTTCCAATTGGAACAGATTATAGAGCAAATTTGTTGATTTTGAAAATGAGAATTGCTATTAGAGAGCAAAAGAAAGAGAGGGAAAGCACAGGACTTGGCTGGCGATGTTGCAATAGGAAAAATCAGTTGTTAGTCCGGTTTTAGTGTTGAGTTGGCAGCTTGCCTGGGCTTAAAACATTAAAATCACTAGGTGGTAACTCTCATAGGAAGCAGTTGGAGTAGAGCTTTAGAGGACCAGACCTGCTCTTATTCTTAGTCTTCTTTCTCTGTGTGTGGAAACCTTTGAGAAGCAGGGTGTTACTTATTGATAATTCCCCTATAGAGGGGATAGTAAGTTTACTAGGGTTTTACTGGGAAATTTGGTTTAGAATGAGACCCATCCAAATTTAGAAACTTGGACACAGTTGCTAATTATTTGTTATTTTCTGTTGATACATAGTTATCGGCAGGTCTGAGACCTCTTAACTATCTATCTTTTCTTGGCACAAAGGAGCCCATAGACTTGGTTGTGTGCACATTTGACATCAAATTATTAGCGATTATTAGAAGTACCATTTTTGAAAAGCTCCTTCTAACTAAGGACTAAGATTATCTCTTATCATTTATAAGTTATTGAAGCTGCCAAGATGGCGAAACTCAGCCTGAATGAAGTATTTAATTCAGCCCATTCTTAATTCATTTTTAACTTAGAATTTTCTGGGATCAATTAAACACCTAAGCATGAGAACTTTTCAACACTCATGAAGTGGATCTTTGTTTTTCTAGCAACCTGCTTATATTGGGATGCTTAAGGAAAGAAAATGAAAATTAAAAATTATTAAACACTTGTCTATTGCCCTTGACTAAGATTATCTCCTATCAGGAAGAAGTATTTGGGAGCTAAATTGATACTAAGTGAGGGTAAATTGATGATGTAAAGTACTAAAATCAGAAGCTCTCCGTATATGAAGATGTCTAGGGATATGAATCTGAGTTCTTGCATTCTCCAGCTCATGATTATGGGACTAGATTAGAAAACTGCATGTGAGAGAAGGTTGCTTAAGTCTGCATCTGTTTTATCTCTCGGATTTAGTTTTCCCTTTGTGAAAGTACATTTTTACAAGTAGTTGTAGGGATTGAAGTTAAGTAAGTTAAATAAGGGAAATTATTTAGTACATACTAATTTCTCTCAGCCTTTTCAACTGTTCATAATCTGAGGCCTGATTTCCTATTTTTCAATTTATGAGGTCAAGGGCTTTTAACCCTTTAGTAGGCTTTAGGGAGTCATAGTTCCCTGAAATTATATACAGATAGTATAAAGGTTTACTTTTCTAGGGCAAGTATCCACACCTTGTCTTGAATTCCAAAGACTCCTTCACACAGCTCCACTGTCCAAAATTCAGAATTGCAGTACTAAGGTCTTTTTATCTTTTCTATTTTTCCTCCTGTAGCTTATTTTGGTTATTTGCCTCCTGGCAAAACTGCACAAGGGTTAATGCTAGCAGAGTGTTTGAAACTATTAATTTACAATGGAAGAAACATTTACTGTGGCTTTGTTAATATGATCATCTATCTTATTCCCATTCGTACATTTAGTTCAATATTAGGATAAAATTTGGTTGATCAGGGTCAGCCTATTTGCCTCATCCTGTTTCTACTACCTTGTTTTGTTATTAACACTTGTAATATTAGTGGGTAGTAGAGTTGACTTTGATGGAAAGATTGTTAATACATTTTGACTTCAATGACTAAACTCAGAAGATAAATGACCATTTTTCCCCACCAGAGATTTGTGAAATTTTAGAGTTAATAAAATTATGCTTAGATGAAGTTAAATGGTGTGAATAATTGATTAAGGTTTCCATATTAGTGCCTGAGTTGATAGGGAAGTTGTAAATATTCTAATGTCACAGCAAATTCAAAGATAGTTTTATGTCATTGTGGTACTCAGCAGTGGAATTGGACAAGTGTTTTCTTTGGGAAGCTATTTCTAACTAAAGTTCACTTACACTTTTCTTTAGTCCAAACACTCTACCTTGTCATCATTTGAAAATACGTATCATGCGATATGGCAGTTTCCAGAGACTGGATGGTTATGGAGAAAGCTTCAGCTTCTGCACACCACTTTGTGCTCTGTGAATATCTGCACCCAAAATGAATGAGCCAGGCAGGTTACTGGGAAGATAAAATGGAATCATTCAAGAATGAAGGGTTCAAATGACCAGTTTTCCATTGTGTTGTGACTCTATAAAAGATTCTTATTCCGTGGAGAAGTATCTTCTGGCTCTAGGGGATACTAGAGGCTGTCTTTCAGCACTCCCCTTCTGCCCTGCATTGAGGTTAGCACTCCATTTGCACTTTTCAGAAAGGGTGCAGACAGGACACCACCTCTTTTATAGCTGATATTTAGGCAAGGGAATAGAATGGCAGGCCAGGGTGATAGCCACACTTGATGACAGGTGACTTCCCTGTCATATTAAAGACATAATTAAAGTTTGGGTGAGTTGGAAAAGAGGTTGTTTGACACCTACAGGCACCTAGGTTAAAAAAGAAAACAAACAGTTGACTGAGGAAATGGGTAACTTCAGTTATTACACATGACTCAAAGTAACAATGTAAAACATTTTTCTTTTTGGGGGGAAAAGTTCATAATTAAGTGAAAGCAAATAGGAGTTTGTTTGAAGTATTCTCAAAGTAACCACACTTTAAGCATAAAGTTTTCTCCTTCAAGTAGAGATTTCTGTTTTTTGGTAGTGTTTCCCTTGTATTTCCCCCCCAAACCCTTTCTTATAAACAATTTGAAAGTATACAAAAGTTAAAAAAAAAAGTATTTTTGCATGGTTGAAAGAAAAATTCTGAAGATGATAATTATTCCATGATGTGAAAAATAAGTGGAATTCAGATGGCAGTGTCCTTAGGTAAAGTTTCACTGGAATAGAGTCACAGCCTTTCATTTACTAATTATCAGTGGCTGGTTTCACCCATATAACCAGTAGCAGAGTTGTGCCTGTAACAGAGACCATATAACTCAACAAGACCAAAATACTTACACATTGGTTCTTTCCAGAAAAAATTTGTTGACCCCTGTTCAACTGTCTTCCTTGATTTGGGGAGAACTCATCCTACAGACTGGGAGTCTAGTAGTCTCTGAATTCTTTGTTTTTAGGAGGAGACTTTCCAAAATAGTACAATGCATTATTCTTACATCAAGAGTTTCTCAATACTAAAGAACCATGTTGGCCAGAAAGAAATACATGCTGACTGTAGGTAACATTCTATGTAAGAAGGTTCTTGTCCATGTGTTCTTTTTAAATTACTGCCTCTTTTCTAGGGTATATACCTGTGTCAGTGCAATTTAAGTACAGAGCATCAAAATACTGTTAACTGTCCCAGCTTCCTAGAACTTTGGACTATGAGGATAGTGCTTGCTTTTATTAAACTATTGAGTGGTATGTAAATATTCTGGAGAAAGAATCTGAAACTGTAATGAGATTATCAAAAGGGCACCTGGCTCACTTTCTTCAGAATGTCTGGTCTGCCTTTGAGCTGGCTTGGCAAAACTAAAGCGCTGCTGGAGGTCTTATGGATTATCAGGTAGAGTCCCCAGGAAACAAATCTGCATTTTGATTGACTACAGGAGTATAGATCCTCTGTAGGTTGCACATCTTTGATTTTATAGTTGCTGAAAAGAGGAGCACCTGGCATACTCCATGCTGAAGTCTCCATCCTCTACCCAAGGCTTCTCAGCCGATGGAAACCATGGAGTGTTACCTATGTTAGGA